CAGGAGCTGGGGTGTCCATTGGGGTGTCCCGCCAGGAGCACGAAGCTGATCGGCTGCGCCGTGTCCCCAGTTTAACTCCCGATGAAGTCAAGGATGAGGCCGTTTGTCTCTTCCCTCGTATTGTCATCTAATCTTAGCAACACTTAGCCATGATGTAGGCGAAGTTAAAACACCCAGCGCCTAGGACAGCACGGCAGTTAAGCGTGGAATTAGAAATAAGAACCGTAATTAGTCTCCCTTCTCTGGATGCCCGTTTTTAAATTATTTTTTTTTAAAGCCAAAATGGGAATAGGAGTTATTTGCTTTGGACCTTTGTCAGGTGAGCGCCTGGCACACCCGGGGAGCCTCGGAAACGGGAGGTTCAGCAACAGGAGCCTGTGCTGAGAGATCACAGCACATCAGCAGGGGCTGGAAAAAGGACCTATTTCAGAATAGCTCCGGTGGTCGTTCAACAGTTATATGAAATAAGTGCATTAAAGTTTCTGTGTAGGCCCCTGGTGATTCAGGTACTGTACCTGCACTGTCTGCTGTGTTTTATTTGCTTCCTCACCTTTGAAAATTCAGGAGGTGTCACTGTTTGTGAAGCTGAACTCTGAAAGTTTTATTGTTGGGAAAAGCTGAATTTGGGTGGCTGATAGGAGAGCTTTGAAGACTGGCCTTTATTTAAACTAATATCCATAAACGTTCATTAACTGTATTGAAAACGAAAGATTACGCTGCCGACCACTGATGATTTTTCCATAGGATACTTTTCAGATACACTGTCTTGATAATTGCGTGAGGAGCTGCTTCTTGTGTTAAAGGAATTGCATCTGGATTTGATAATCCTGCCTGACCCAGAAGAGATTTATTTTAAACTAGCTTTCCTCTTATGTTTTTTGTAGTATCAAAATACAAAAAACCTGAATCTGGCTTGATTGGTCTTTTTTATTTTTTCCTAAGCAGGCAAATACTTTTTTTCTTTTTTTTTCCCCCTGCACACCCTATTCCAGATACATTATAGGCCACAAGGAAGACTGGGGGTAAGGACAGGGGGAGTGGGGAAAAAAATAATAAATGGTCTCTCCTTTCCATAGAGGAAAAGCAAAATTTCCTCTAAGTAGCAGAGCTGCAAGGAAGCCCCTAGGTACTGTGAGGATTTGACCTAGGCAACACCTGTTTAGCCAAAAGCAAAAGTCTTCAAATAAATACAAGTGTAAATGTGAGTGAGATTAGTCCAAGGCTCTGAGGTAATAGAGATGGAAGTTAATACAACCAACAAATTATTTATATTTCCAGAGATTCAGTATGAAGAAAATATGGAAGTGATACTATCAAGATAAAGCCTACACCTACACATTGCTGTGTAGATGCTGTACTAGCTGGTTGTCAGCTCATGTGTGTTGTTAAACTTCAGCCATGAAACCCTACAGCAGTTATTATTGTTACTGTGGTACTTGTCCACATAATTTGCCATAACACATTCTCACATTGGATAATATTAGATGTCCCACTCATGGTATATAAATAACTGATGCAAAGTATGTAAGAGAAGAGAGAGTGTTTGAAACCACAGCTTTGAAGGAAAACAAATGTTGAACTTATTCTGTTGCATCACATCTAGACAAGATGTGCCTTTCCTCTGCCTTGTATTGTCAGCTTCTATCATTTATTCAGCTGTATATTTGAGTGCTTCAAAAATAAAAGTAGGGTATCCACAGAAAATCAGGTCCTGAGATGAAGCCGGAGTGCATATGAAACAGGGATGTATAAGGCTAAGTGTATGGTGGCTTAGAAAAATACTCTTGGGTGCACTGAGTGATGTTGGTCCTCAGCTATTGAGCAGTACTGAAAAAAAAGTGAAACACTGTCCAGGAGCAACCCCTGGCTTTACAAGTTGCTCCTGCAGTGGTCCAATTCCCCCTAGTTCTGCCTAGGAAGGAGGTGCTCCCTCTCAGGCTGGGCACTGCCTGTCGGATGTCATGAAGCTGTAGCTCTGTTTGGCTACTGGCGTTCTCTAGATCCAGTAATAAACCAACTGGTCCTAGGAAAGGTTTCAGATAATCATCATGACCTCTGGTGTCTAAAAATCTTCTGCTCCCTTATGTTAAGGAAGCCTGTTTGTAAATAGGGCAGGTCCCCTGCATAAGGACAGTGTTTTTATTCACACCCAATGAACAAACACCTCCACCCACTGTTGTTGTTTTAAAAGACTCCAGCTGCTCATGAATATAGGGTCAGGGAGGGCCGCCTAAATGTTTCTCTGTGCTTTCTCCCCAGCGCAGCCAGCAGAGCTGTTTCCTGTTCTTTGTTTCAAGGCTGGGGTTTGCGTCACACATTCCAAGTGGCATATGTGGTGCTCTTTCCTGTTTCGGGCTGTTTTCTGGCAGTTCGGGAACGTTGTCCGGGCCCCTTGTCACTGCCCCTCAACTCCCAATCCCCACCCAGTGAGTTATCATGTCTCTACACACTCACAATTGCTTAAGATGCCTGTGTTATGTCATAATGAGGTTTCCAAGTTAACCTTTAACGTACACCCTCGACTCCAATTTATTTGTGGGGGTGAACTGGAGAGAGCTTCGCTCCCTTCGCTGAAAACTTGTACTCAAGTCTCCAGAAGGTTGTGAGCCAGTTTTCTGCTCTCGCTTGCTCATCAGCCAATCTGGAATAGCTCCATTAAAGTCACGGAGTTACTCTGGTGTTAAAAGGAGTGTAAGGAAGAGAATCCACATCTATAGGCTCATACTTGTAGGAGGTTTTTGGCTTCTGACCTTTCCCAACCTGAATGACCCACCGTAAGCACTTTATATTTCCAGATCTCAAAAGGAATAGGTATTTTCTCCTTGTACAAACTAGAAGATTCACTGTCTTCCAGATGTAATACAGAAAATGAGACAGTGTTGGCTGCTAACCTTTCTTTGGAATAAATAGGTGTGGCTGTGCCACATTTTGCATTTTGAAGGCATAAAAATAAATTTTTTACTCCTGTTTTTTTGTTTGTTTTCTCCCCCACCCTGTTGCAGGCAGACATAGATAAAGATCAAGAGGAAATTCAGAAAGAGAACATAAATCTTTCTGTTGCTTTGGATCTGACAGAAGAAGAGCTAAAGGACCTAAGCCAAAGCTCATTGAAATCAAGAGAAAGACTTGCATTAACTTCAGTGGGCTTTGAATCAGGCCCTGGATGAAAATGCAAGATGGAGTGTTTATTCTTCTCTGTCACTTACAGGCCTGAATGTGCACGGTTTCTGTACACACAGAAATACTTCCACCCTTTCATTTTACCCCTTTTTATGTTACTAATTTTTAAGTAATCTTTTAGTTCCTGCTGTTGCACTTTTGGATGCTAAAAGTTAGTTGTTTGTGATCCTTGCAGGTATCTTTTAAGAAATACCCAAAATACATGCTTTAAACTCCCTCTTTCAGGGCTTAATTGTATGTGAAAAATATTTTTACTGAATTATGTGCACATCCTGACATCAACTTGTTTTTTATCTGTTCAGAAATCCGGATAACAAGAAGAATTTGGCCACACAGTTTTGGTAAGTTGTTTATTGGTTATTTTCATATGTTACTCTCAGTTGTTTTTATTTAGTTGTTTTTCTGTTAATTTTAGGATTCCATGGATTAGTTGATCCATTACAGCCCAATTAAATATCTTAATTCTGGTACTATTCATTTGCACAGGATATCAAACATATTTAATCTTTTTTCTCATGGCAGAGGAAAAATGTTACATTTAATTGCATTTAATATTGGAAACGGGTGTATAAAAGTCAGTAAATTTTGTAGTTCACACCTTTTTGTGGCCAGAATTTCTACAAAATCAGGGACTGAGATTAAAATTATAATAGTTTTGTAAATCAACTTTTTAATATTAATTAACACCCCTAACACGAGGTCTTTTAGAGTTCTTTTATGCTGTCAGTATTGAAGCTTTGTGTTTTCATTCCGAGGCTAGTTGCTTCCAATCCAGAACATGAAGTTTGGCAGAGCTGATTTTAGGAGAGATTTAACCCTTCCCTCTTAAGCATTCACTTAATGCTGAGGCTTCCTTTGAGGGTTTTGTAGCCATAATGGATGTCTCCCAGGGGAAAGAAGTATAAGTGTAGATCAGCTAAATGGAAAGATAAAGCTCTAACAGGTTTTTAATAGTAAACTAAGTCAGAATGAAAAAAAGAAAACAAAAAAACCAAAACAAAACACGTGGTCTGCCTGTCATCCAGTCTGTGTTACCAACAAACTAACTTGAGCCATGAAGGCATGTCAGACTTCCCACTTTTTAAAGAGTCTAACTAAGCTGCTTTGATCACTATGTCATTTGTACCCACTACATTATCCAGCTCTTCTCCACTTTTTTTCCACTTCTGTAGGTACACAGAAGTTCATCAACACTTGCCCTGTATTCAAATCCTCATTCAAATTAATTATTTAGGCTATTATTTTAAAAAGTACACTTCCTTTCTTTAGGCTTCTCCTCCTCCATAGTATAAAAAAATGTTGAATCTCTGTTTCAAATGTTTAATGAAGTAGCAGAACAGTATTTTCTGTCATTCTTCCCTCTTAAAAAAAATAAAGGATTTCTATTTGTTCTATTATCTTTAAAATTAACCTCTTAAGAAAAACACAACAAAAAAAATAAAGTTCTGTTTGGAAGGGAAAGATTATCATGCCATTCCACATACTTTACTTGTTTTCAGAAGTCTGATCTTTTATCCTTACTAGACTGTTTCTCCTTCTAAGAAGTAGCTTGAGACAGGAAACCAGACAGCAGTCTGCCCTGATAAGGGAGAATATTGTCTAATGGAGGTGCCTCAAGAGCTTTTCTTTCTCTCTCCCTTAGGTTCAGTAAATGCAGAACTGAAGGTTGAACAGGGTTCATAAGGCCTACATTTTTCATTGATAGAGAAGATATTTTCTTAACAAGCACTGGAAGAACTTTTTTGCCCAAAATTTTTACGTAAAAGAAAGACATTTCCAGACAAGTGGCTTCGAAGACCCTGCATCAGTATTATTGGAAATGTAATGGAAATACCGAGTAGTTTGCTATACAGCTGATAAATGATTATGTCAAAGCATTTCTAGGTCAAACAAAGTGACATCAGCAAAGTTAGGATGCACAAGTTGGGCAAAACCCCAGATTTTTCAGCCTGCTTGCAGTTCTGAAAGGAGGAAGGTAAAATATTTTCAAGTCAACAAAAAACAAAAATAGTCTGAAATACTAAATAACAGAATCCTATAGAAATGCTCTTTTTCTTTGTGCCTATCAAGTAAAACTTTCAGCAGAAAATTTTTGCCCAGGTACCATTTTCTTTTTACATGATATCCCAACTTTTTCCATAGTTACTGCCATTTCTGAATGGAAATCCAGTGAACAAACAAACACAGAAGGCTGCCAATCAGTAAAGCATTTTCTTGGTGTACTAGTTCTTCCTTCATGGTTTTCCCCCTCCTGTTCTTCATGGGCTGGCTGCTCCTGTCCCTTCCCCCAGTGCTGTGTCTGGGCCTTTGCTCCTTCCCCTGCTCTTGCTTGCTTTGACTGCGTCTGACTGCTGTGCTGAGATGGAGAGTTTCTTTGCCTGCTGCTATTTTTGGGGCCCAGTGCAGTTAAGTGCTTGCTTACTTCCTATTAAAGTTAATGGAACTTCAGAAACACTTTTTTGCTGACTCAGGTCTTGATGAGCAACTGGTACAGTAAGTGCAAACACATCTTGTTACTAGTCCTGGAAAACACTTTTAACCTTTTCCAGGCAATCCTGCTCTCAGAAACTGTTTTTTCTCTGTCAAATTCTCTTTCAAGGTTCCACTGAAGAAGACTTCTCACCGAGGTTCAGAAAGCCTCCCCACCAGTTGGATTTCATTAGTGGAGTCTTCTGATACTATCACTTCTCCTTAGTATCAGGGGAAGTTTGGCTTGAGGCTCACAGACCTAATGTTTTCAGAGCATAAGTCCTAGAGGGCTTGGACTGAAGAGCTTTGGCCACATGACTTACATTGGCTGCTGGATACCAACTGTGCTGCAAGAGCTGCAGCATCTTTGTGGAGGGCACTCATGCAGTGCTAATTTAGCAGTTATCATTACATTGTTCTGTAATTATACCAACAATAACAATCATACCTTGAAGCTTCTAGACAAAGCCTCATGGTATCATGTGGTAGCATTCCTTGCTTCCCCCTAGGCGCAAAGATTGAGAAAGCAAACCCTATGCATGCTTTCATGCAGGGTGAAGAGAGGCAGAATTTCTGGTCACCACCCTGCTGTCCGCAACAAGAGTCAGATCACTGACTGCTCTCCTGAGTATTTAATGAGAGCAAAAGCTCTATGTTAGAGGGAGGCTTTGTAGTTGTTGGATGTGCACAGTCAAAACTGGCCCTCCACCCCACCATTTCCTTTCATAACAGGTCTGAAAAGTTGATGGACCTTGAAGGTAGATGTACAGGGGTGCTGGGAGTAGCTGCAATGTGGTTGCAGTTCTCCAGCTGCTCTGCAGAGCAGATGTGTAGTCTGGGTGCATTCTTCAACCACTTTTCTGGTTTCATCCAGGGTAAATAATCTGTACAAATCCTTATTGTCAGAGTACACCTTAAGTACCTTCAAGCTCTCATTTACACATAATTATGTCTCAGAAACAGTAAACCATGCCTGTCAGGAAGTTAATATCAAGAAGTCTTCAATCCTGACGAGGCTATGAGCTCTACCAATGATGAACTTCGCTTCTGGAAGGGCTACTTTGCTAAATATTGGGTCATAAGGGCAGAGTTTGTGTTTTTTCTGGCTTGCTGTCTTCACTGGACTTCACATAGAAAAATACTGAGGGAGTTTGCCTGGACTTTGCCTTGCACCTGTCCTTATTTGCATACAAAAACCAATTGCTTCATTTGTCTTTCTGAAGTACAGGGTGTGAGCAGAATCTTATCAAAAGCCATGTCCTGTTTGGACAAGTTGGACTGACTTGGCAGAGATCCACAGGGTGGAGTGAATGGGAGGAGGCAAGAAAGTAAAACTGGGTGGCTTGTTAGCAGAAAAAGAGAGGGAGAGAAAAAAAAAAGAGAGGGTGGAATGTTTGCCTACCGGATTGTAGTTAATTATTTAGTTTCAGATTACATGCATTTAAAATTCTTTTAACCCACATGAAAAAAAAACCCTTTAATGCAAAGTAGTTTATCTAATAATGTGAAAGACAAAGGCCCTTATTTTTTAATACGCTTAATATATTGTCTCCTCATTGTTTTTTCCAGGGTTCCTCAGGAATGAGAGACAGTATTTTGATTTTCCATAAAGAAGTTGTATTTACTAAACAATTTGTGATCTTTCAAACAAGTACATTATGAAATCAGTGTGTTAAGTAGAAACCAACTGTTTTTTCATTCCTCTGTAACAGAAACAGATAAGGCTGTTTACCTTCCCTATTGCCCCCTTCTCAAATGTTTAGGAGAGATCAGGAGGTTTTCAGGTAGTAGGCATGATTTTACAAATAGACCAGGAAAACTACTGACTTCTGACTAGAAGCTGCATGCTTTATCTGTGTGTGAGTGTGCGTGCATGTATTTTGTTTGTGAGTGTGGTCCGAGCAATTAATTCGGAGCATTATTTTAAATACAGAGAGAATTGTTTTGTGAGTTTATTTGCAGCCTTAGGAAAGTGTCCTTCTGAGATAAATTTTAATTGCCAGACCCAAAGCTGATTTAAATAAGAATCTGACCCTCTGATCTGGACTGACAGGACCAAGCCATATAAATTAATTTTCCTTTCTTTAAAATTAGTTTCCAGTCACTATCAAATGAGGAAAAGAAACCTACTGCTTAAGAGTAACATGTGATAAAGAAATGCTCAGTTTCTGTACTCTGATGCAGCAATAAAAGTAACATTTTCCTCTGCTGTTCTTAGATGACTGCACCTGAGAAAGATTGAGAATTACTTTTGACTTTTATTCAGGGCATTACACTTTCTGTTGTCTTTGTCAGTCTAATGCCTGCACAGTAATTTAGAGCTCTCTCAGGAAACACTCATATGTACAGCATTGCATATGAAATGTGTATCAAGTGTCTTTCACATGCTTTATTGAAGTAAAAGGTGAAAAGGATTAACTCTTAAACTGAAGAAAATCCAATTTTAAAACAAAAATGACAAACAGAGTAGCCTGGGAGCATGACTACTTACTTTTTCTTTCCTCCTTTCCTCCTCCTCTCTCTCTCTCTCTCTCTCTCTCTCTCTCTCTCTCTCTCTTCTCCTTCCTTCACTAAAGTACAAATTGGTGTGTCGCTTTATCTATGCACATATAAACTAAAAATTTAAAGTTTCTGGAAACCTGAAAGCAAGTATTTCCCAATTCTTATATATGAGGTCTGAGATGCTGCATTTCACTGTAAACATTTTTTTATGTCTAAAAGTGTAACTTTTTTTCTGTTTTCACAATGTATATACCTGTGTGGGAACGTGTGTGAGTGATGCATAGATACATATATAGATTTAATGCATAGATATGTGTCTCTTTCTGGGAAGACAGTCTTCTGAAACATTATTTCTAGCTATGTGAAATGTTAAAAACCTGGAAAAGGTAACTGTTCAAAGAAAAATAGTGTAGTTAATAACCTTCTCACAGACAAAGTATTTATAAAATTACCACAACTTTTAGCAAGTAGTGCCATCTTACAACTGCTTCTAAAACCACATGGTCAGTTTAAACTGGAAGCTGCATTGAGCCTGCTCTGTTTCACTTTTTCTTTGTGATTTGGTTTTGTCAGGCCTTTGACTTTTGTAAGGAAAATTATGAAGATACTTCAATTTACTTTTGATACTTGTTTATTTCCATTATTCAAAATGAACACTGTAATATGTTTCCATAATAAATGTTGAATATATTTCCATAAGTCTTTAAACTTTATTCAGATACCTGAATAATTAATAATAGACTTGTAACAACTCATGCCATCTTTCTCTGGAAGCTCTTAACAAATTTTAATGTATAAATACACGGGATAGTTAATTGTAAGATTGTTCATTAGTGTAGGCTTATTAGAATTGTTTTAATTTTCATTTAAATTTCTGGAATAATTTTCCAGCCACAACTACAAATCTGTTGTTGAGCCTTTAGCCTACTTCCGCAGGATGAGTGTCTGGAGGGGGTATTCTGGCTGTATTCCTTTCTTTCCAGTGCCATCTACTGGTCAAAATTGAATTTGTGCAAATATTTTTTGTCCTCACAAAGAGGTCAGTACCACTTCCCGGCAGGGCTTTGGACTGTACAGTGTATGGTGAGAACCCACTCCTGTAACATCAGTCATATACTGTATAACCTCAAGTGATTTATAAAAGCTTGCCAACATCTAGATGTCATTAAGAACAACTTTCCTTTGCTTCTCCTGGTTTTTACTCTGTGCCCTTGTGGCTTACCCCATAAGAGATAGCTCCTTTCCTTCACAGCATCTTTCCAAGTTGATCATGGCAAATGCAGAATATGATAGTTAAGTTATGATGTGCTTTTGCTAAATACTTTTATTTCAGGCAGTTAGAGATAAGCCAAAGTTGGACAAAGGAGATTGAACACTCTGTAGAAAAAAATAACTGAAACTGCATGGAATACAAACAGATTTTTTGAAGTGCTTTTCTTTTGCACAGTTAGCACAAATTGTTGTTGAATTGTCAGTAAATCTATTATCTCAGGGAAATAACTGATGTATTTTTATGTTAAACCATTGCAGCATGTTGGATATACCTCTCCAAATTTGTCCTGTTTTTTAATCTTTCTTTTGCATTGATTTCAATATCACTGTACATTAAAGTTTCAGATTTTTCTATCAAGACTCTTAGATATCCTTTCCAGGATCAGCTCACTGTTAAACAAGATTATTCTGAAGTTATAAGGCTGATGAGAAATGCATGGTCTAAACTGTGGTGTGTTTACACACTGACAGCTAGTGAAAGTGACAATTCTGTGATCTTGGTATGCTGACGTGCACAATGAAAATTGAAATTAACTTTCATTAAAGTGAGTAGATGTCCCTTTATTTCAATAGCGATTGGGAAAGAATAAACTTACAGTAAATGAAATATTTAAATGAAGCCTAGTCATATATTTAAGAAACTATGTTAGAGATTTACATTAATCTGAGAAATTAGTAAGTTCTTTACAGTTCAGAAGGTTGATCTGGGAGCTTCCTACATTTTTCTAACATCTTGTCTTTCCCCTGCAGGCGAGGACATCGGAGGCATCAGAAGAGGTGAATAAAGAAGATGCTAATGTTTGACCCAGTCCCTATCAAACAAGAAGCCATGGAGCCTGTTTCAGTGGTAAGACTTCTAAAATATTTTAGCCTTTGTGATGACTCTATAGTTTTTCCATCTTTAAATTCATACCAAGATTTCTTTAAGCTTTGGCCTAGCGTAGGAAAGGCTGTGAAGCTATATTTTGCTTTTAGGGCAGTCAAATTCACATTCTAGGAAAACTTTTTCTGTAGTTTATGGATTTATTGCCCCTAAATGACCTGCCCCATTACCTCTGCTGGTACTCTTATCCCCAGAGCAGAGGAGAGAACATCCCAAGTACTCCTCAGCCACTGCAGTTACAAAAAGGTCTCTCTAGCTTATGCTGCTGGTGGAGGTGGGTTGAAATTAAGTTACCGGACTTTACAGTGAAGTGGCAAGAGCTTGTGGTTTCAATGAACTAAATGAACAGCTTCTCACCATCCCCTTTTCTGTTTTTCCCTTGGCCTTGATAACACGTGCCTGAGGCTAAATCTTCACTCTAAACAGCAGAAAATTAATCCTGACAAAAAAAAGTTATGGCTTTTTGCTGGGTAAGGCAGGTGTGTTACCTTACCATGTGAACAGATGAGAACCAGCGCAGTGGAGGAGGAACAGGGCAAAAGAGGGAAAGGGAGACTTTTCATTTCAATTAGGTTATTTTTTTGTCAACTTCATGTATCCTGGGCTGCATCAAGAGAAGCGTGTCCAGCAGGTTGAGGGAGGTGATTCTCCCCCTCTGCTCCACTCTCGTAAGGCCCCACCTGGAGTACTGTGTCCAGTTCTGGAGCCCCCAGCACAAGAAAAACCTGAACCTGTTAGAACAAGTCCAGAGAAGGGCCACCAGGATGATCCGAGGGCTGGAGCACCTCTCCTGTGAGGACAGGCTGAGAGAGTTGGGGCTGTTCAGCCTGGAAAAGAGAAGGCTCCGGGGAGATCTCATAGCGGCCTTCCAATACCTGAAGGGGCCTGTGGTAGTAACAGAACAAGGGGAAATGGGTTTAAGCTGAAAGAGGGCAGGTTTAGATTAGATATTAGGAAGAAATTCTTCACTGTGAGGGTGGTCAGACACCGGCACAGGTTGCCCAGAGAAGTTGTGGTTGTCACCTCCCTGGAAGTTTTCAAAGCCAGGTTGGATGAGGCTTTGAGCAACCTGGTCTAGTGGAAGATGTCCTGCTGATGGCAGGGGGGTTGGAACTAGATGATCTTTAAGGTCCCTTCCAACCCAGACCATTCTGTGATTCTATAAGGTCAGCTCAGAGAAGAGTCTGATAAACAAGAGCAGCAGGAACGTTTAGCTGGGAGGGGGACACAGGATGATCCGAGGGCTGGAGCACCTCTCCTGTGAGGACAGGCTGAGAGAGTTGGGGCTGTTCAGCCTGGAAAAGAGAAGGCTCCGGGGAGATCTCATAGCGGCCTTCCAATACCTGAAGGGGCCTGTGGTAGTAACAGAACAAGGGGAAATGGGTTTAAGCTGAAAGAGGGCAGGTTTAGATTAGATATTAGGAAGAAATTCTTCACTGTGAGGGTGGTCAGACACCGGCACAGGTTGCCCAGAGAAGTTGTGGTTGTCACCTCCCTGGAAGTTTTCAAAGCCAGGTTGGATGAGGCTTTGAGCAACCTGGTCTAGTGGAAGATGTCCTGCTGATGGCAGGGGGGTTGGAACTAGATGATCTTTAAGGTCCCTTCCAACCCAGACCATTCTGTGATTCTATAAGGTCAGCTCAGAGAAGAGTCTGATAAACAAGAGCAGCAGGAACGTTTAGCTGGGAGGGGGACAATGGGAATTGTGATGATATAGGCTGGTTTAGAATGGTTTGGATCCTTTGGGTCAGCTCATTGAATGGTCAGAATTGCTAACCACCAAAAATACTCATTTTTTGGTCGGATCAGAAAGCTGATCTGACTCATTCTGTGCAGCTGCTCAATGCTAGAGCAGGAGGGGGACGACAAGAGAACAGGACCTTCCCTTTCAGCAGTAGCCTGCAATAAGGTCAGATTAAGTGTGACACAAAACCAAACCTTAGAAAGGGTGATCAGTTAAAAGGATGAAGTCTGTGCATTAAATTCATGCTCTGAATGGCATATTTCAGTGAAAAGTTTGCTTCCCGTTTTATGTAAAATGTAGAATAATTTGCCATCAATCTAAATGCACCCATAAGCAGTCTGATTTCTTCAGTGCTATTAATGACACCTGTTGAGAGTTAAGTTTGTATGCATTTTAAAATTACAGTTTTGACTTTCATGGGTTTATTTACTTAAAGCAATGATAAAAAAATAACTGATCTGTCACTGAGGATGTACGTATGACAAACGGCAATATTTGGATCAAGAAGGAACCTTAGCATTGGCCAGCCTATCGGTGACTTCAACCACGTGCTCCTTGCAGAGGTCTGATACCTTCTGTGCACTGGACCTCTGGAGTCATCTTGGGTGTTCTTGTAACTTGGTGTCATCACTCTGACCAGCCGTTAGAGACTATTCAGAGCATTTCATCAAATCTGTATGCTTTCCTTCCATTATTGCATAATGGAAAAACAAAACAAAACAAAAAACCAGGAAAGGAAAAGCAGAAAGTCCAGAGGAAAGAACATTTTTTGAGTGAGGTTCCCCTCATGGAGATTACTCTGGTTTCCCTCAGGCTGAGGAGTGAGTGTGTGTGAGCTTCTGTTTGCGCACAGGCTTTTTAGCCCCAAGCCCTCGAGGTCCTGCTTCCACAGCGCTGCTTGGTGTTGCAGCAGAAACTGCTCTGGAAACACCTCTAAAGGGAGGAATTGTGGTGTGGAGGGAATATAGGAAAGGGTAGCAGCCACTGAGTGTGTTACTTTTCTTGACCCTCTTTTGAGAAGGTGGAAGGAAAGAGAAACTGTTAGTTTGATGTTCTGGATGTGCTGTGCTGAGCATAGAATTCAGTTCAGTGTGGGCTGACATGATTCTTAAATCAGGATTTATTTCTATTGTATCTGTCATTCTGATAGTATCATTAGAGACCAAACTAAATGAAGCTCCTTAGGAATTATTTGTTACTTTACCTGAACATACACTGTCTCTAGATATAAAGTCTTGTCTTTAAAAAATCCCATTAGTTGGGGTGGGAGAAGGAAACAAATTGTCTTTGACACAACTGCATTTCAGGGTGTGTGGCTGAAAGGATTAACTATACTTGTCAGATGACTGAAGCTCACATTGACAGTATTACATCACTACCAACAGCTCATGCTATTTATTGAATTGAATTATTGAACACATTTTATGATAGTTCTTTATGAACTAGTGACAAAGTAATCTCCGAGTACTTTGCTGCAAGGACTTTTCAAACATTTGGACAAATACCAGTTACTGTTTAGTGAAAGAAGTTGCTTTTTTATGTGTTACTATCTTTCTCTAAATTTAAATAGTTTTTCTCTCTCCTTCCCTCAGTCCCAAAACTACTTGTTTCACCTGTTTTTAAAGATAGCTACGTGAGGGGTTGAGGTCATAAGTAGCATACAGGAGTACAGATTTCATGAGATGAGAATGCTTTTTCATGTATTAGCTACTATTTGGATTAAATCCTATTCATCCTCCTACGTGATACTGATTTGACAGATAGTTTAAGTAGGTAAGCAGGTTCTTCACCTGTTTCTGTTTTTCTGAGAGGCTGGCTAAATTTTAAAGTTAAATTCATACAGTTATGTAGTTTATAAAGGACTTAATGAATTGTTTCAAAATCTATTCACAAAGAAGGTGTTTCACTGTGGCAGCATAACAGAATTTAGCCAGTTATATCAGATTAGTGTTTGGTAATGTCCCCTTGTGAACTGGGTGGTGATAGTTGTGCTCATGATGTATTTGGCCAGTGTTTATTCTTGATAGAGTGTCAAGAAGTATGGTGATTCTTTCTCCTTTTGGATTTATTGATTTAAGTGTATGAGCCACATGGGTTTGACTCAAAACTATTAGATTTATATTTCATTTGTGGCTTCAGTGCTCTGGGTTTTATTATGGACAAACAACAAGCAAAGATAAATCAATTGCTTTGTAAGGCCCAAAGAGGGAAAGTGATGATATCAAACATAAAAAAGAACTAGATGGAGACTAAAGGAATATGTGTTGAAATACAATCCTGCATCTTTATAGTGATCTATTGTAGTAACATACCATTCTGCACAGGCATGTTTAGGAAAGCAGAATTTACTGAAAAGTGGGAATTTGTTGGGTTTTTTTCAATCCAAGTCAGACTAAACTCCTATATACACTGTTAATTCTCACAGCAGAAATTCAAGAAAAATGTATTGGCTTAAATATTTTAGGCAAACAGAGCAATGATACCTAATTTTCCATTGTTCCACCAGAATACTTGCAGAAATTCTAGGACAGGTGAGAAAAGACTGTTCTTGCAGTCATCCTGCAGTTGATGGCATTTAGAAAACCAAATAGAGATAGTTAGGCTTTTTTTGTTTGCCATTGTTAATGCTCCCTATTTACAAAGACTGTGAAGTCTTCATTACTCTTCCATCCCATATCCCGGGAGGGGTACTGTCCACTTCCTTTGGAAAGAAAGGGAGAGTGACTTATCGAATTTGAAAGCAGTGGTTCATATCAACCTAATGGTAATTGCTGTGTCCCAGCAAGCTAGAAACAGAAACTGCTGTGCTAAAAGGTACAGGAAGCTTAAATTTAGGAGATAGATCTCAGCATGACTTACTCCAAAGGGTTTCAACTGCACTTCATTGACAGTGAGGCAAAACTGTTTTCCATCAAAGAAAGTGTCTGATTGACAGCAGATATTCTCCTTCTGATTGTTCTAGCATCCTTCTCATCTTTATCACCCTTTTTGTTCCAAACACAGGTAATTTGTTGCGCCAGATTTTTCTATCACAATTTTATCTGCAGTTCCAATAGAAACGTAGCAATTAAAATCTCTGAAACAAGAAAAGTTCAGAAAAATTATTCCACGTCCCTGAGGGGGATTGGTGGGAGAAATAGCTGACGTTAAATCTGTGCCAGCTTAATTACAATGAAAACCTTCTATGCAAAATAATGCAAGGCATATGGAGTAAAATACCAAGTCCCTAAAATAATAACTTCTTAAAAACTTAATTATTTTTTCTTAATTCTTGGAAAGTATTTCTTATTTGTTTAAATATATTTCACTTAACTCTTAAGCTCTGACGTTTAGTGATGGAACATTTCCAGTTGTTGAAGCTGAGTAGACTGTATGTGGTAAACCAATAACAGCAATTTTAATAGAAGTTCTTAATATCTCTTCTGCATTTAAATTTTGTATTTTTGCCTATCCCCCTAACTTGATCAGATTTAGTAGATATTAAATACTAAACTCTGTCAATATTCAGTCACCTTCATCACTTAGAATGCTAATAATTTTGTCGTTTGGCTCAGCAGTGGTGGCAAATCTATAGAACTTGTTTTAGGCAGCATTGCTTGCAATAATGGCGTTTTAACAGAATTCTGAGAGAGCAGTTGCCATCAAAGATGAACATTTCTATAGACTGAATTTGTAAGAATAGTCATAAAGAGAATAAATAAAGTTTCAGAGGTCTTAATGTAATATTTACTGTTTTAAGATTAATCACCATTTTTGTACGCTGCTTTATTCAAATATTTTATGGAATAGGTGACTCAGCTTTGTTGTTTCTCATCACAGTGCTATGAATGCAGCAGGAAAATTTAATATTGTCTAAACTCACTGTTTCAAACAATAACTGAAAAGAAGAAAAATACATTTGTGTCATTTTGCAAAAATACTTTAAGTTAACATTGACATTTAAAATCAACTAAGTGTCCCTTACAGGTGAAACAGGTAAGAAACTAGGAAAATGTATTGCTAGAAGTTTTCACCCCAAGAAGAAAATAATTGAAATGTCATGGAGATGATTGTATAAAAATGCAATAATTTTGTACTAATAATCTGTTTCACTTTCTACCATTTTGAACATTTTTTAAATCCTACTCATCGAAGTTGTTTCGGTGCCAAAGTGTTCAGCCGTTTTTTGGTATTAGTGTGAAACCACTTAGGCTTAATGCGAAGCTTTATTTACTTAGAATCCAAATACAGCATTTTATTTCAAAAAATGTACAACATCTAAGGGCTAAACATCTATGCAGATTACATTTTTTATATCTATCTGCTATGTTAGAATATCACATTGTTGTTTATTTTAAGTTATCTGTTAGTAAACAACCTCCACTTTCAACACTTTTAAAATGCAAAATTGATCTGGATAGTTGTTTAATAATACTGTACTCTGCAATGAATGTCCATACTTGGTTTACAAAAAATATTTCCACTAAAATGCAGAGATCACCACATAGGTCAAGATTAGCTTTGGGCTTTATATGACCTTGTAATGAGAACTGCTAGCTACCACTGACAGGAATATTCTTCCAACATGTCAAATGTTTATCCTTGTGCTAGTTTTCCAAAATCAGACTGGCTAGTTAGCAGCTTCATTTCTCAAAAAGGAAAAAAAAAAGGTTTCAAATTTACCTTTTGCACTCTTGAGTTTCTCATCCATTGCTTATACAGTTCAGCTGTGTATTTTTTATTGCTTGTAGGGTTCAGATATGTAATTTCTTGCTTTAGTGATGATTATATTCCAGTTGCTTAAGCAGTTGATTGGGACCCGTTACTTGGAATTCTAAGTCCAGTTTAACTCCCCTCTCGTTTGACTTCATGTTCCTCAGTATATAGTTATGTGCTGGGCATAGCACCATGTATCTCCCAGGTCAGTTAAGTAATGTGCAGCTTATTATATGAAAAGCAGTTTTTAAGAGAGAAAAAGAGTTGAATAAGCATTGAGGTTTTGTTTTCGTCATCTCTTTTACATTGCTTCTGAAACAGTGAATCAGTACTTGAATAACTTCCTTTCTGTGAAATCTTGGGCTTTATTTTAATTCACTTTTATTTAGAAAGTACATTAAAGTGCTTTGTTGAACTTTTTCATTTTGCCTCAGTTTTATTAGCCACCTTTCTTTTTCAGCAGTAATTGTGTGTGTGTTACGAATTATTATTTGATGTTCTTTATTTTTTTCCACTTCTTCTCACAGTCATACCCATCCAATTACATGGACCAACTGAAGCCAAACAAATACAGCGTCATTTATTCTACACCGAGTATGTTGCACAATAAATTTTACTCAAACCCCGAAGGACTATCAAATGGAATCCAGATGGAGCCAGTAGACCTTACGGTGAACAAACGGAGCTCACCACCTTCAACTGGAAGTTCTCCTTCCCCGCTGAAATTTCAGACTGTGCATAGGAGAACTTCACCTGGATTGACTCTGTCCTCACCCAGCTCACCTCTCAGTAAATTCACACCGTCACCCCCAGGAGTACAGCCTATTTCCATGCCAATAACAATCCCACCTGTAATGGCTGCTGCTCTTTCACGCCACGGACTGAGAAGCCCTGGCATACTCCCAGTTATCCAGCCTGTTGTGGTCCAGCCAGTTCCTTTTATGTATGCTCCCCATCTTCAGCATCCCATCATGGTGTCCACAGTTCTTGCAGATGAGATGGAAACTCCAAGTAGCATGCAAGGTTGGTGTTGTCAGAGTTTCTTTTTTATGCTCTTTTATCCTGGGAAAATAACTGTATATCCAGGCACTTTTTCATGTGTTTTTTGTGTTTTAGGAAATGGAACATAATTCCTATTCTTCTAAGATGTGCAGGCATAGAATTTACTGTGTAATTACTTTAGCAAACTTATCAAGGTCATATTCTGTTCTGATTTATACCTACATAAAGCTGTTGTATCTACTGAGATTTGGACTAATGAAAATTAATAGAATTGTTTTGAATCATAGTTCATCAAGAGGTAGAAGATTTTGTATTTTAGCATAAATTGTTGCACTAAATATAGATCTGGGGGATTTCTTTTGTTTTAACTATAGATTTTTATGGATATTTTTTATTTCCATAACTCCATATTTTTGATGTGTTGCCTTCCCTCTCCTACCCTCCCCCATACAGTGCCCGTCATTGAGTCTTATGAGAAGCCTACGCTGAAGAAAGCAATCAAAGTAGAGCCAGGAAGTGAACCGTCGAAGACTGACTTCTATCCTGAGCAAATGTCACCTCCGATGATGACCTCGTTGTCTCCCCAGCAAGTAATGTTGCAAGAGTAAGTAGCTAACAGTAGTCCCAAGATCAGCAGAAGGATGAAGTGCCATTCATTGCAGCAGTTACTAATTTTGAGTAGTGGGAGGGAGAGTCACCGTGCTTCAGAACATGTGTTAAAATACAGAAAAACATCCTTCCCCTTCACTGCCTCTGTGAGACGTGACTTCAACTTTTTTCTCCCACTTTAGCAATACAGCAGTTGATACATATTTATACATCACAACCACATAGATCAGCTGTTTATATAATTTCTGAAGTAATGCTGGTCCCAATCCTGAAAGTAGGACTCCCAATAAGCCAGTGATACCTCTTTATGTAAAACTACTAGCAAATTGGAAAAATACTGTAAAGACATTTCATCCTGATCTCTGTATTTATATTACCTAAAATACCTTTCTTTAAAAATATTATTCTGACCTTCTTTTCTTGGAGGACCTTATTGTCTTTTAAGAAATTGTGACTACTCAGTGGAAAGAAACCCCTCAGGCCTACAAGTTCTATATATATCTAGTGAAATTCTGTGTTTTCCTGAGGCATGTAGGTTCCGCATGTGGGTTTTTTTGGCAGCTCAGGTAGTTCCTGAAGGTTGCTCTCCTCCCTGGCCACTTGTTTCCACCCCAGTACCAACTCATTGTGCTGGTACAACAGTTACTGGGAGCACTGGATCACAGATCTAATTGGGTTTAAAACAGTCATGTTTGCAGAAGGCAGAGCAAGGGCTAGAAAAGAAGCAGTAAGGTCTGAGGCAGAAACGTTTTAATTGGAAATATTAAAAAAATTCTCAGAAGTCCCTGAGGAGCCATGGGCACCCTTCTATTTCCTGTTTTCCTAGGGAAAATTCTGTCGACTTACTAAAGTCATGGAATGGCCTGGAGCCAGGCTCATCCTTCAGCAGGCAGTGCTCTGGGCAGGCATGCAGGTTGCCAGCATGGCTCTGGCAGGAGCTGAAGTGGAGAAGTGAGCTGGGCTCACAGTACATGACCTCAGAAGCCTTTTCTGCCCTTTCTTCTCCCCAAACCATTGTTTATGTGCAAAGAAAGAAAGAGGAAGCATGGGACAGGCAGTCTCCTGCGTTTCCTTCATGAGGCAGCCTCTTCCTCCTGCTCATGACTGTTCCCAGGGTTAGAAGGCACAGGTAGCTCCAGGGCTAACTGCGTTCGGCATAGCCCTCTTGTGAGCATTCCTCTTCATTTTCAAACCTCTAACCAGCTTAGGTGCCAGTTCCAGACTGCAAGCTCTTTGCAGTTAACTATGATTGACATTTAATTCAGTACTTCTACCATTTCTGCCTTTCTGGGCACTATGACAGAGTTGACTAGTTGCCAGCTAGCTTTCATAAGCAGTATGCTGTTTATTTAAAAATAGCCTTATATGTTTTATTGTAATAATCAATGTATAATAGTAAGCATCTATGTTTACTAGATGGTTACTTATCTCCATAATGGACCTGCCATGCACAGTCAAGTCTGTATCTTGGAACTACCTTCTGCTATGCCAGGGCTACCAAATGGTGCAGTTAAATTTTGTTTTTTGTTAGGCCTCTTTAACAAGAGCAAACCAGTAAGTGTTGTTCCTGGCTGATACCACACCCTTCCTCCAAGGCTGAGACTTCTGCAGGCTTGTCACCTGCATCAGTGATTTGCATTAATTATTTCCCAATGAGACCAGTCTCCACAGGAAACCCATCCGCTGAGCAAAGAATATAAAATTTGGTATAACACGCAGGTAGCATTGTTACAAAAAGCATTTGGATGGTCCATGTTTCCACAGCATCTCCTCCGCTTGCCCACGCAGAGCATTACGTTCATGGAGACCCTGTCCTCCCATTGCAGTGGCTTAAATTGCTTCCTAGCTGCCCTGTAGAGCTTCGGTTCTTGCTCATTCCTAAAGGCAGCCCTTTTAGTCAGTTAAAAAAATATACAGACAAATCACACAAGTTACGAGATGAGAGACCTAGACCTTTATAAAATTTCCTGTTGTCTCACAGCTTCAGCAGCCTCTCTCTCTGCATTATGAGCTACAGCTATGCAATGATTTTTTTAAATCATTTTTCATAGATTCCAACTACCCAAGGTGTGCTATTCAGACACATAATCTACATTAACGGGGCTTAGAAAACCTTCAGTCTCACTTTTAAGTGATTGATTTTGCTTTAGCGCAGTTTTTGGCATACGCATTACATATATAATGCTGGTGGCTTTTCCATAGGGATTGCTAGACTTTCTAGCATGTCTGATAATTGATGTAACTATGCAGTTATTTGTAAAACCAAACTTGAGGTAATAATCTCTGACCAAATATAAGAAGCCTCATTAATGTTGTGTTCTTGCGAGTGCAAGCATCAAAGTCTAACTCATGCTACCAACGTAGTGTGGTCTGTTGGTAAAGAAGGAGAAAAAGCTGTCGATACTGTAACATGATTTTTGGCAAATGCTCTTATCTATTAAAGAATGACACTTACATGGTTAGACTTACGTGAATTTGTATCTGGTTGTGTAAGAGGCAATGAAAGAATTAGGGCTGTGCTTTCATTATTGGCACTTACTTAATGTTTACCTCTGATTTTTGACACCACCTCAACCATTTTTTAAAATTGCCACACCCTATCTGAGTATTGATAACATTCTGTAGTCTTGCCAGCCTCCTTTCCTCTGAAGAGAAAATGAGACAGAGATGAATTCTCAGCGCTTTATTTACACAATGTCAGATTGAAAACCATCACAAATGGTGCACAGCCAATATCCTTTTTCGGCCTTTTTCCAGATGTTACCATGCCCAGGACTAGCCTCTGCCCATAGAGATTTAAACCAAGTTTCCTTGCTGTTGTAAGCCAGAGCTTCTCCAAAAAGACTAGTAGGCAACAGCATTAAAACTGAGCAATGCTTTAGAGAAACACTTCTTTCAAAGCTAAAAGCCGAGTATGTACATCTGTGTCTAATATCACCATCTGGGGTTTCCTTCCATTGCAATATTTTTAGCTACATTTAATGTGTACTTAGAGAGTACATCACTCAACAGTCACAGAAACACCCAAGAAAGATAATTTGTCTTCCAGTTTCGAGCTTGTAAATCTAATAGAATGAATAACAGAATGAAACTTTTCCCATGTTGGAGAAAAGTAATTCCCATCCTGCTGCTGTGGAGAGTAATAGAAATTTTTTTTTTCTTGTTAAACCACGCACAAGATTTTCTTTGCTGTGCCTGATAAATGGTTTGTGGGTTGTTGCTTTGGGGTTTTTTTGTTTCTTTGGGGTTTTTTTTCGTTTTAACTGAAGAACCTTTAGCACATGCTCTTTATTTTGCTGAGAGAAGTGGGTATTCAGCATTTCTGAAAATTAGACCCTAAAGGAACTTGGTTTAAATAGCTAATATTACCTAGTGTTATAAAACATCATTTAATCAGTAAAGAAATGTGAAATACAGTACCTGAGAAAATATGGGAGTTCTAGCCAGCTTATTTCTGTCACATGGAGGAGCTGGTTTTGCAACAAGGAATCCTGATATCTGCACATTATATATGTTCAGTTAAAAGTTTAAAAATATATTAAAAGCACCGATACAGAGCTGCTGACGGGTTGACAAATGGAACTTTGTGAGGCTGCAAGATTTGTAATGCCATTTACCTTTTTGAAGAACGTATTTATTTCCTTTTCTAATATTGACATGGGAGAAACAATCAAAGTTGTCCTCAATTCTACAGTAGGGGCATTGTTCAAACCTAAATATCCACAGTCAGTGACACCTTTCAGGAAGCTCGATGTGTGAATGCATGTGAATGTTCAGGTTTTTATGTGTCATAGAAGTCCATATGTAGTTAGTACATGTCTTACCTGCGCTGTACCTGTGGGCTTCAAAAGCAAAAAATGATGTTTGTGAAGGTGGAGGGTCAACTTCAGACATCCTGTGGGTGTGCCACACAGGCTAAACTACTTTTAGGAATTGACGTCAGTGGTATAGGGAGGCCGCACCCTCCTGCCAGCACCAAACAGGAAATTCTTAATTACTCTGTAAAGGAGTGACTGGAACAACAAAGATTGAGTTCTGCTTTGAAACCCTAAAGATACAATTTCTTCAATAATATAGAATAGCTGTTTCCAATTACAAGCAAATTAGTTACATTTGAAGGAAGAAGAAAAGTCGTGAACAAATACAAGGAAAGTTCACTATGAACTCAGAGTTTGAGAAATCTGGGTTTGACTGAAAAACAGGAATTTGAAGGGGTTTTTCCTTTGTAAGTTTAAAAAAAAGCTAGGGAGTAGTAAAAATGGCTACATCATGCCATAAAGTGAGTAAACATTTTAAAATATTACTGCTAGAATACACAAAACTTGCTAAACCCTCTTGAATTTTTCGACATGCATGTAATGTTGTTCTTTCTGCCAAGAGACAGAGTGGTAGTGAATAAAGGGCTCTATCATGAATCATATTAGCTGAGGTTTGCTGTGCTAAATGTTTCTCATTTTTAACATTCAGTTTGACTTTGCAGGAATCACCCTTCAGTTATAGTTCAGCCAGGAAAAAGACCTTTACCTGTGGAATCTCCAGACACACAAAGAAAACGCAGAATACATCGATGTGATTATGAAGGCTGCAACAAAGTCTACACTAAAAGCTCCCACCTGAAAGCTCACAGAAGAACCCATACAGGTTTGAGCATTGCTATGCTTTTCTTTCATCAAGTCTCTGGTAAAATAGTAGACTGAGCTTTTAGTTTGTGCTAATGGCCAAGTGACCGCAGGTGTAAATAAGAAAATGACAGAAGTTAGACCTGGCATTGTTCTGAATGTAATTATAGGCTCAGCAAAAGACAGAGGCTGTGGCAGGAAAAACCCACAACTAGAGACTACAAGCCAAAGCAGGATCATGGTGCATGCTGATATGCTTTACATTCACTGGCTCTTTGCTCATTTTCTGTCCAGTTGCTTGCAGATTAGTCATTGTGCACACCCTGTAAACACCAAATCAGTTCGAATTGCACTACCTCACCTCTTACATCACTGTTAAATTTGACTGAGACTTGCAAAAGTCTAGACTGTGTGCCAAATAAAAACACATCTGTTTCATGTGGATATGCTAATCAGTGGTCCAGTAGTGCTCTTTTCTGAGTGAGTGTTCCAATAAACGTATCCTCATCTCTGTTCTGTGCGGAAATCTTCATCTTGGCGTGCTGAATGAATATATGTGCGTCCGAGGTTTTTGCAAAGATATGGGACACTTCTGAGTAAAATGAAGCCCAGCTCATGTCTATCTTATATCTCCACACAAGCCAGCCCTTTCACCTGTTGGGCAGCACAATGGTGTTAAGGAGAAGGAGGGTCATATATTAGAAAGTAATGATTGAGAGGGATGTTAAGTTGAGCTACTTGTGACAGTGGTGCCACTTATTTATACTACAGTAACTTTTAAGAGGTCACAACAAGATTTCTACCTGCTGTGCTGAATGGTAGCACCAGTCTTTTCCCCCAGTTAATCTAGAATACAAAGTCCTGGTTTTGAAAATAATTGAACAAAAGCTAACACCTTCACACTTCTGTGCTTGATGAGACAAAACAAGTGCTAATATGGCAGAGGGAGGAAGAGAGAGATGATAAAGAAATAAGTTGTGGCAGGAAACAGTTTTTTGTTAACTGTTTTTTGTTTCTGTTAACTTCATCTACACAGATTCTAGTGCAGGGTACTCTACAGGCCAGTGCTGTTTGGAGGATTTTGAGTAAGCATTAAAGTACTTTCAGAAATTTGACAAGGCAAGAGGATCAATCTGTCAAATATTTAACTGATGTGTTTGTGTTTTAAATCCCCACCTCTGTGTTTCTTTTTCCAGGTGAAAAACCATACAAATGCACTTGGGAGGGATGCACGTGGAAGTTTGCTCGTTCTGATGAACTAACGCGGCATTTCCGCAAGCATACAGGAATCAAACCCTTCCAGTGCCCAGACTGTGACCGTAGCTTTTCACGTTCGGACCATCTTGCTCTTCACAGAAAACGCCACATGCTAGTCTGAATATCTTCTGTCCCTGACTCCTGTCACACTTCCCCCCCACCCCCCAATATACATTTTAATTTGGATTCAGCTGGTCTGAATCTCTGAGTTTATACCATTAAAAGCTTACATATGGTCAGTAGCAGATGTTATCTAACCCTTCTATGTCCTTGCCACGGGTCAGACCTAAAGAATGTGAAGAACACCTTTTTTTTTTTTTTTTTTTTTTTTCTCCTGGGGATGCTAAGCAAACCCATTTTGCAGACAGTATGTTTAATGTATTCTATTGTGAATAAGGGAATTTGTAAACTAACAGCTTTTGTTGGTTTCTTCATATAATCAACCCAGCATATACTGATAAAGTAGTAAATGTTATTGAATATCCAAAATGCTAGTCCTTGCCAGAGACTTTTATTTATGTGCCCTGTAAGGGATACACTCTCATTTTATGCTCAACAATGCAATGATGGACTTTCCCAACCGTGTTGATTTCTGCAATATGGTTAATGTAACAGTTTTAGAAAGGCACCTGATTAAGAAATCCCCTCTGCCAAAACAGTGAGTAACACTGTAGAAATAAATCTAAGCAATATAATTACTTTACAGAAAGATTGAGTCACAGTATCATTTACCCCAGTCAAGAGGAAAAATTGGCAGGAATTGGTCTATACGTAATATTGTGCATCTAAACGAATGTCATCTGTCCCCTGGATTATATTGTAGTATATATTCTTGTTTTTATTGCATAATGCCCTGGTGGATTTGTTAAATGAAGACCTTGTGTGACACTGTATGTCTGGTTTCTGTGAAGTGTATGGATGGAAGACACATGGTACTTTCCTATGACATGGCATTAAATAGTATTCATAGAAACCTACCACACCTCATTTCAGGGATATAGAGTATCCCTCTATAATCACTTCCCTACATTTCCTCTAAATAGTTTTTCTCTTTGCTGTACCTCAGAAAATAGCAATTCTTACGTTAAAAATGTTACAAACTGTATTGTTGCGAGTGAGTGCCACTTTCATACACTGCAATATTTAAAATTATTAATCCACAATATTTTTATAAGAAGATGGCATCAGACAGGAAGCACTTCTGATGATAAAGTGAGTCGTGGCTCTGTTTCGGATAGAAACATACACCAAATCATCCATTTGATAACTCTGGTAGTCTCTCAATGGTAGGTAGACTAAGCTTTGCTGTGGATGTGTCTATTGCATTAAAACATCACATCAGCAAGTCTTACCTCCCGTATCAGTTGGCAAACACAACTCCATAGATGAAATAAACTGAATTCGAGCAACCTGCAGTTGACCCTAGAAATGTTCCTGTCTCTGGGAGCCCACTGAAAGGCAGGTTTCTGTCTTTCTTAGCTGGCAGACTTTGTGGCACTGCAAGGAAACAAGATGCATTTCTTTAGGCTCTCAGGCACCAGTGCGTTTTTCTTCTTTCCCCTATGTAAGGTAAACACCATTCCCTTCAAGTTAAACACACTGGAGTCAGATTTTCATTTCTCAGAAGAACCCACTGGAAAGTGGAGAGGTGAGGGAAGAAGGGAGTTTCATAAAACTCTCCAGGAGGAGGTAGGTGGAGTGTACATCTGCAGGTGGGTATATTAGAGCTTACGGAGCAGGTGGGCTGTGCCTCTACATCCCGTGGAGTCCAACGGCAAAATGAATCTTGCAGACGCAAGAGTTTGAGTGTGAAGAACTTTCCCTTGGTGACAGAGGTTACCAGCTTTTCTGCTGACATCCACATACCCATAGAATTGGAGAAGGAGAGGATCTGTGCTTGAAGAAAACATTCCTACAGCGATTGCTGTGAAATGCGAAGTATTGCTCCAGTTGTGTAACAAATCTTGTATGTGGGAATATGGAACTGGCAATTTTATATAAGGAATAGAGCCCTGAAGGTGTGCTTTGCAAAGGGGAGAACTGGGGTTTGCAAAGCAGGGCTGGGTGTGTTGCTGCAAAACTTTTGTGAGGAAGATCTATATGCTCTGTTACAGCACCGTACATCCTCATCACTTTGCGAAGAGCGAGGGAAGTTACACCAGATCTTCTTGTAACTGGCCTTCATCTGCTTATCTCTGGAGCTGAAAAACCTGGTAGAAGAACTGACCTGGTTTTTGAGTGGCTGCATTGTTACTGACATTGAGGAACTTGCAGGGAAGAGAATTATGTTAATGAACAGCTGTTCTAGAATGGGAATTTTTGTTGGATATTGTTATTGTCAGCAGTAGCAGCATTGGCCTCCCTCATTAGGCTCTAGGTTTTAATGGCAGTTCCATAAATGCAGACACATCGCTGAGAGGCTGTGTGGAGCCCACGTAGCGTCAGTCACAAGTTTACAGACATTTAGTATTCTGGGATGAAAACAATTCTCTTATTATATTCTAGGGGAAAAAGCACAGTGATCCTATAAAAATAAGCAGCTTAATGGCAACTGGTTCATTTTTAGCTTAACAAATACAAATAAATAAAATTTGGGATGTTTACGGAACTTTTCTGTCAAATGCTCTGTTTCTCTTTTAAGGCTTTCACAAAATGTTTAATATTTTCTTTTTTGAAAAAAATTAGAAATCTAAAATCAAGTACCCTAAAAACAGAATTTCTTTGTAACTAAGAGTCACTTTGGAGAATTTAATCTAGATTATTTACCATGTTCATTCCTTAGCCTATGTACCTTTTTCCTGAAAATATTTATGCTGATGGTGGGGATTCAATCGAACTTTAAAATATCTTTAGCCATGTGCCTTGTGATTTAGGACAACATAAATTTAAATATTAAATATAAATATTTGAGATAATTTCATGTAAATGCCATGCTTATAGGATTTTTCAACTTGTGTCTAGTGGCTTTTTGTGGGATGTCAAAAAAGTCACAAACAAATAATGCTTTCATCTTTCATCTGAAAATGTGAATTTACATCTTAACTGGCTCGTTGATTCATTGTAGCAAACTTTGATTTGAGGAGTATCTTGTAGTTTTTAAATTTATACAACTAAATACTTTTTAAAGTGAGTCCTCCCATCTTTGCCCTAAAGAGAAGACTAAAGATAGAAAATGCTAATCCTGCAGAATGTGTGTTTTAAAAGCCAACTTTTTTCCCTAGCAGTATAGCACTGTGCAGTGTGTAACAGGTAGTAAATACTGTTTTACTAAAATGTGCCTATTTAAGCCATTTGGTTGGTTTCTAAGACAATTGCAAAAAGCTGAGCAGGTATTACTGTGTGTGGCTCTATTTAAATATACACAGCCATTCTCCAGTGATCTTTCTAATGCCACATCTTGTCCAAATATGTTGTCTCTGTCAAGGTCAGGAACATGTAGATGAATACAAATCCTTTCTATAAAAAAATACAAAGCATTTTACATATCTTGAGGGCTACACCAGTTTTCATTATATTTTACAGATATTAGCACTTTTTAAAATGTACTTTAAATATTAGCGGGTTAAAATAATCTTTCTGCTTAGCATCTCTCACCTGCGTATATAGCAGGGATGTTCTATTTACTTTAATACTTGTATAAACTATGCAGAAATTTTTTAATAAAATGTAATATATTTTATAAGCTAATAAGACTGAATGGGTGATTAAAGGTTTCTAGTGCGCATTAGTATAACTTGCAAATATGGAGACATTTTGGTAATCTTTTCTTACTACAGATGTGAATGTTTAATGTACTTTCACTGTTTCTACTTTGGTAATCCAATGGGAATTCCGTAATGACATTTTGTCATGTCAAGCTGTGAACATAAATTTGTACTGTACAGTCCTCATACTCTATTTAGTATACAATGCATACGTATGATACTTGTTAATAAAACCCTCAGAATACTGTTTGCGTTCCTGTCATCCTACGCCGTACAACAAAGAGCAATGGCACAGGTGGAAGGGTGAGGTGTATGCCCAGGGATCCCTGCAGGCTCCAGGCAGCACGCAGGAGGAGCCCCTGCGTTTTCGGATGGGCCTTCTGCAGCGCCCATGTGTACCTGCCCCGCACACGGTCCAGGGCAGGCAGGGCAGGGCGGGAGCAGGCAGGGCAGGAGC